AACAGAGGAAAGCCTTCCTTTTATATCAGTCAATTTTTTTGTTTTGCAACTACTTTCTTAAACTTAATAGAGCACGGGAACACAAAATGAATAGTTTCAGTAAGTACTAAGCAATTCCCTGTTGAAGTAATGAGATTACACTTGGTTTAAAAACAGACAGTTGTGTCAGATTAGATATCTGTCACTGAAAGAATGTCTTGTCCTAGTGGTGTTTTAATCTAAATTGTTTTGGCTGCTATGACTCTGCAGATGTAATATTTAGCTTGAAAAAATCCTCCAACGGGAAGGTGGTGAAACCACTAAAAGATACAATCAGTGGAGATTTTAGGATGTCTTTAACTGGATATTGTTGACAAGATGCAAATTTTGAATATAATGAACTACAACATAGGGGATCTGACTACATGACTTTACTCTTAGCTTACAGCCCTAAAGCCACTCATTAACTTTACCCTTGATAGAAGCAGTAAGAATTACACTGTTCACATTTTGAACCTAGTTCTTTTTATAATGTTTGCACTGTTCTTCATTCCAACACAAACTGAGGAGTACTGGAACTTCTCAGTCAAAAGACAGAACAAACTTCTACTTTTACCTAGGAAGAAAAGTGGCTATTATTTCTGAAAAAGTCATAAATTCAAGGACATGTTATTATTTGATCATGAAAGTAAATTGATTTTCTGCACCTAGGAAGAAAGAAGAGACAAAACCTTGATTAAGTCCTTTAGATCTAATGTATTTCAAAAGTGCTTAGCTACTTAAATGCTACATCCTCTGGATATATAAAATCAATAACACATTGGAATATTGGTATTTCATTCATCACATATTCTATGGTTTCCTTATACTTCAAAAGGAAATCATTGTTACATTGCTAAACGTTAACATCACAAAAATGCTAAGCTCTACAGAGCACTACTTGACAGAACAAAAGCAGAAGCTCAAGAGAACTTACAGATCTTGTCTGCTAAATGAATGACAGTGGAATGGTCAGGACAACAGGCTTTAGCTGAAAATCTTACTTTAAAGACTTTTCATCAAAGATTTTCAGTGTTGGGGATCATAGTGGACACCAAGTTGAACATGACTCAGCATGTGTTCTTGATGCTAAAAAGGCGTATGGTATTCTTGCCTCCACTACGTTGCCAGCAGTCAGAATAGGTCACCTATACATAGCGCTGATGAGAATGCACCTGGAATACTGCATCCAGTTCTGGACTTCCCAGTACAGAAGAAACGTGGAGCTGCTGGAAAGTCCAACAAAGGGCCACAAAGATGAGGACAGTAATGCAGCATGTATCCTAGGATGAGACCTCTGGGACTGTTCAGCATGGAGAAGAGAAGGCTCAGGGAGAATCTCAATGTCTGTAAATATCTGAAAGGAGTATGCCAAAAGGACAGAGCAAGATTTTTTTCAGTGGTGCCCACTGCCAGAAATAGACATATTGGGCACAAAATGGACCACGGGAGGTTCCAGCTGAACATCACAAAATATTTCTTTACTGTGAGGTTCACTGAGCACTGGCGCACATTCCCCAAAGAGCTTGTGGACTCCTTGAAGATCTTAAAAAAATGCCTGGAAAAAGATGCTGGTACTGGGCAACCTCCTCTATGGTGGCCCTTCTTCAGCAGGAGAATTGGGCCTGATCAGCTCCAGAGGTTACTCCCAGACTTCAGCATTCTGTGATACCATGCACTGGTAGAAGATCCTGAGCTGCATTTTATATTTCCTTCTGCATGTCAGTCTCAGTTGAACCTAACACTGCATAGTCCCTCAGAGAGTAGAAAATAAAAGGCACAATTTCTGGACAAATGTTTGGAGGTTTATGCTGAGATCAGTGGTGAATAATCTTTCTCTTTACAATGCACATTCTCTGATGAATGTACAAAAAGTTCATCAAGAAGCAAATTCACATTTTGATTCCTGGCACTGGCCTGCCCTACTGCAGATGACACTGTAGCATACAAAAGGCTCCAGGAGCTGGTTGCCGAATTAAAATCCAAAGTAAGTTATGCATTAGCCTGCTTCAATGTGAAAAGCTGCGAGCTTTTTTTGCATTACACTGTGATAGTCACCAGAGATTTTTCAGAGGCATGTGCTTCAGAGAACTTACGGAAATCCTAATGCAAAGGACTTTGCCTCATTAACGTGGAAGATTTAGAATAAGCTAGTTCTCTTCTTGTTCTCATACTAGATTAATGTTGACTTTGGGGAATTGCCAGGAATTGCCAGCATTGATTTTCTGCATAATCCTGAACTCTTTGTCCTACAGATCTTTTTTTTTTTTTTGCTGATACTGATTAGCTAGTCACATTCATATTGATAAATCTCTTTTCATGATCCAGTTCCCCACTTGGACAAGAATTAGATGAATGCCAGGATACTTCCTTCTCCTCAAATCTTTATTTCTAATGGGAAAAAAAATAATAATAATCCATGTTATAGAATGGAAGACAAGAGTGTGTCTAGATAAGATTGTAATACAAGCTCCTGTGGCCATAGCATCCACCAACTGCTCTAAAGATGTGCTTGTTGTGTAGTTCTGTCACACTGTCAGAAAAGGTTTCAGAGAAATTAGAGCTAATTTGTGAACTATAGTGTACACTCCACTGCGGTAGGACACCAGAATTTTGTCAGGGTAGAGCCTGAAAGCAAGAAAGTGGATATGAGGTGAAATGTGATGTCAAAAACTAGAGATTTCAATTCATTTCCATCCTTAAATTAGTATTACTGGAAAACATTGCTATGTAGGTTGCTGAAAACTTGAAAGCAAGAATGAATTCAAGTTAATATTCAATACATATTCACATACTTATGTCTATATCCAATGCATATATTTTACCTAGAAGCACATATATATATTAAATATACATGTCATTTTGCATAAAACAGGGAAAATTGTATAACAGAGTATTTGTGTATATCTCTGTTTCAGAGATAAATATAATAAATAATATAGTAAAAGAGAACTTAAGAGTTTCTAAAAGAGAACGTCATAAGGGCAATTCCTGATTCTGCTTGCACATTTATTCTTCCAAAACTGGTAGTGGACGTTGATGTTTAGTGCCTGAGACACTAGAGCGACTAGTGCTACCAAAACAAGGTGAATATACAGAAAAGGAGTGCTTCATCAATCTGATGGACTGATTATCATAATGCAGCACGGCACTGTGAAAAAGCTCACTTGCAAGAAGTTCTATGAAGGTGTAGTAATCGTGAAGGCAACCTTACATATTACATATATAATATGTGTACACATATAATACATATATAATAATATCTTACAAATCCCTCAAATCCCACCACCCCGCTAGTTACAGAACCGGGCCAAAACAGCCCATAAACCATTGACAATGTATTATGTATTATATATTATATTATGTATAATTGAAGTTTTTGTCATCATGGATAAAAGTATAACTGGTAAAAATAAAACAAACAAACAAACAAAAAACAAGGTTAAAACATAAAAAAAGACAACTAAACCCTAAGTTTTGGTAGCAATAAATTATCATGTTTATAAAATACTAGACTTTAATTTAAA